TGTCACCTGACATACAAGGGCAGACCCACAGATAGCCATTTCTTTTTTCTTTTAGTGGCCAAAACTAGATGTTCATTCTGAGTTTCTTAACACAAACCTCTGCACTAAGTTTCCAGAATAAACGGCAAGTAAATCACTTGCTGGTGATAGCCATCCTACTGCTTCTAGGTAGAGACATTCGTGACTACGTTTTTATCTGTCATGTCACCTGACATACAAGGGCAGACCCACAGATAGCCATTTCTTTTTTCTTTTAGTGGCACTGGGGTTTGAACTCAGGGCCACGCACTTGCTAGGCAAATGCTCTACCACTAGAGCGACTCTGCCAGCCCTGTTTTATGCTAGGAATTTCCAAATCAGGGTTCTCTCAAACTATTTTCCTTGAAGGCAGGGTGTCTGCATTCACCTGTTCCATAAACACCTTAATTCTGCTGCACACTGGCCTCTTGGTCTCTAAGAATGGGAGTCACTTGCACCCTCAAGTTCCCCCAGCAGGTCTCGCCTCTGCCAAGGCCCCTGTCCTCAGAACAGGAAACCCAAGTGGCCATCATCTCTACATGGACTAGAGGGGACAGCCAAGCAAAGACACCACAGTGACTGTGTCAGCAACTGAGCTAAACAGCACTTTCCTGAAGTACTATCATTTTCTAAGACAGGCCACCTCCGGGACAAGACTGGGAGTTTAACGCTGCTGCAAATGAGAGAAACAAATTAAAACAACTGTGTAATTCTGGTATCTCTTTTTTTTTTTTTGTCTTCTTCAACTTAAGTCTTTTTGGGGGGACAGGGAGTTGGAGATAGCAAATTTCTAACATGTTCTTACTTGGCAAAATAAAAAGAACTGGCAAATACCTCTAGCATTTAGGGAGAAATTTTACTGCATAGGAAATCAGAATTCTGGTTGAGATAGCCTGAGATGGACTATTCCTGTGGCTTCCCCCACCCCTAGTTCTGGGGTTTGAACTCAGGGCCTCACACTTGCCAGACAGGTGCTCTGTCACTTGAGCCAGTCAGCCAACCCTTTTTTGTGTTGGGTATTTTTCAAGATAGGGTCTTGTGAACTTGGCTGGTCTTGAACCACAATCCTCCTAATCTCTGCCTCTCAAGTAGCTAGGATTACAGACATGAGCCACTGGTGCCTGCTTTTCTGTCTTCTATATAAGAAAAATATATACAAAAACAGGTATATAATCTGTTTTTGGAAATTTGGGAAAATTTTAGAAATGTGAAAGGTTTACAGTATTTAAATGAAGAAATATATAGGTTGAGTATGTCTATCCCCTATGCAAATGCACAGAACAATAAGCACTCTGGACTTTTGAGGTTTTTAATATTTGCATATACAGAATGAGATAGGATGGAGATTGGACTCAAGTATAAACACAACCTAAAAGTAATTTTACACAATATTTTTTTTCATTGTATCTGTGATTTTGACTGCAGCCCATCACATGAGATCAGGAATGGAATTTTCTACTTGTAGTATCATGATGGTGCTCAGCGGGTTTGAGTTAGGGATGCTCAACCTGTCTAGATACAAAGTGCCATTCTTAGAGCATTATTTTAATATCCAAAAAGCAAGTGACAGATGATGATATGCACATCATTAAAAGACATTAAATGATACTACAAACAGTCACTAGCTTCACAGGGCTGCCCAAGGACCAAATAAGAAAACTAAGAAAAACAAAGTGCTTCACCATGTCTGACATGTTAACCATCAATATTTTCAACAAAGCAAAGTCAACTTAAATCCTAAAGTAAACTAAGGAGCAGACAGAAAGAGAAAGACCTCACCTGCAGCCTGGTCTGACCACTTGCTGAACAGTTGTGCCAAGGGACTAAGTTTTTACTTCTCTGAGACTTGTGTCCTCATCTGTGAAGTACAGATAACTTTCAGGAGTGTGGCAGGGCCTTTTGTTGGTACATAGTAGCAACAACTACTAACAGAATTAGTTTACTAACTAAATTAGTTATCCAAGTCACAAACTGGAGGTGTGGCTCAAGTGGCAGAGCAGCTGCTTTGGAAAGTCACAAACTAGTTAATGGCAGAACCTAACTCAAGAGCCCAGGGTCCTCATCCTTAAGAGTTTTTTTCTAGAATGCAATGCTGCTAAAAATGGTGGGAGGACAGATAAGGGGAAGGAGTCCTATCTGGTGAAACCATTTCAACCTTAACAAAATCAGCAGCTACTTCCAATAGTAATAGAGAGAAGACAACTATTTTAAGGATTTTTTAAAAAATACAACTTTAAGAAAGTTTATTAATGTTAAATCTAGTAGGAGTCAAGTAGGAGGAAAACAGACAGCACAACAATCCAGATAAAGTGGTTTCTGCATTTTCCACCCAGAAAGCAACAGCATGAACACGCATTTGCAAACATGCGCCCACACACGTAAGTGATACCGGCCACATTATTGAGACAGACAAATCAGGAGTGTAAAACTTCTACAGTGAACTAGCTTAGTTATGCCAGAATTAAGTAATTCAATTCCACGAACACAATTGGAAAATCATATTCCACCTAGACAATTTCCAATAAAAGTAGTATCTGTAGCTTTTCATACTCTTGTGGATTTTGTGCATATTTTAAAGCAAATCAGTTTGTTTAATTAACACAAAAATCAACAATTTGCTGATTCAAAAATTTACACAATAATCCATCATGTCTAATTCCTTAGGGTTTCCACTACTATCTGTCACAGAAGGTCCACAGGAGTCTGATTCGCTGTAAAAGGGTTCTTAATAAGACCCTCTCTCCTACTCTCTGATTTACAAGGGACATAGCATCCAGACATGCTCATGGACCATGATGTTTTCCGGCTGCTCTCATGGGCAGCAGACATCCCCAAGCTCTGACCAGGTAAGGCAAAAGTGCCACCAGGGAAGTCTTCCTGCATGTGGTGCTCAAGGTATCAAGAGATGGAACTAGAAAAACTGGCCTCAGGACAGTTTACCTTATGAGCTAACTGCTCAAACAGTAGCCCCTAGTTTACACCACACCCAATAACATTTTTCTAAAGGAACTTGAGGAATGAATTCAGTTTCCCAACATTCCAATGAGGGGGCCTTCTCTGACCAACCCTATCCCAAAGGAGGGGCTTTTACTAACCTTACCTGTAATCTAGCCCTCCATGAGCTCAGATCCACTTCCAGAGCCCAAGTCCTGCTTACCAGTGGGCAGCATAACCCCCAACTCACAGCAGGAGCAGGAAGTGAAGGGGCTGGCTAGCTTTCTTAGTGTTTCGTGCTCTGGATCAGTCACAAGTTATCATCTTTCTCTGAAGTTCCCACAGTTAGAAGCATTTACTGAGCCAAGTACTATAGATTGTTGTGTGGAAGACAAAAAATGAGCAAGTCAAAAATTCAGCCACACTAGCATGGGGACATACATCGAGAGTGTTTTCTCATTTTTTTCCCAAGTATCTTTGCAATTCCAGATAGTTTCACTGTCTTTGTGCCAAAGTCTTAAGAGAACCTTATGGTTCCAAGTGCCTGCAGGGTCCACGACCACAACCAAGGTCTCCAACCTTCCATTCCCACGTTTCCTAAGAAGTCTCTCCCAGAAATTGGGGGTGCCACTCCACTGCACACAGCTTAGAAAATCCTTCCTCTGGTGGCCTCTTCCCATTCTAAAGCACACCCTTCTGCATTCCCTAGCTCACCCTCCTCCATTCTGGCCTGCAATCACACAATGCAACCATATTACCTCTCACTGATAAATATCTAAATATTTAAGTGCTGAGACATAAAGGACGGATAATTCCGAATTGTTCTTAACAGTACCGTATGTATGTTAGATACTAAAAGCTCCACATAAGGCTCATTTCCTGGTATAATAACTCCCCATAGTTTTATGATGCAAGATTGGATATTTGAAACAGGTGTTATGATGCTACTTAATTTTAACACCATGTCCCTAAGACTAACATTTCAAAAAACAAACAGGGTACCGAAAGCATAAATATTTCCGCAATGATCTATTCCAAAAAAGCATTAAGGGAAGTAAGTTCTCAAAAACGAAATTAAAAAGTCAATACAAAAATTGGAGGCTTAATTTTCCAGTATGACAATATAAATGCGGTAGTTTTCTTACATGACAATTTACCAATTTAAAATTCCCTAGGAAGAGTCCCTAAAATACTCTACAGAACTGATTCATCTCAAAACTGGGCTCATCACTGGTTACAAATCTAAATATAATATACAGAATGATACTTTTAATTATGTATATTAAATCTCCAAACTATTCACTGCCACTCTCGCACCTCCAAATCCCTCCTGCCGACCACAGCTGCCCACTGCTCTTTATTCTCAAGAGTCATCCCATCTACAGGGTCCCCCTGGTTTTGTCAACTTTCAAGTTTTTCCATAGAAAAGTGTTGCCCACACCTACCTGACAAACCTCAATGTCAAGTCCAGTAAGCCTGACCTCATTAAAAATTTCCCCTTGCACTTTTAACCTGGAGGTTACGTCACCGGGCTCCACCGACCTGGGTAGTACTGGAAGATTCGTCCCCACTACCGCGGGTCACCGGCTAACAGCTGAAGTCCCTCTGCCCCTCATTTACAGTCAAAACAACAAACTTAAGTTTTAGTCTTAACATTCTCCGTAGGAAACTTGGAACCACTCAGCAAATCATGAAAATGCGTTCAAATTGGAGGAAACAGCCGTAGTCAGCAAAGGCACGGGAATGGAAACCCAATATCGGTGACCCAGGAGCACGGCCTCGGAGTGGCCTTCAGCTCTCCCCACCTCGCGATACCGTTTTTCTGGGTAAAGGGTCGGAAATTTCCGCGGAGGGACGGATGCATCACCCTGACCCCATGACCAGCCCTTTGAGGGGGGCGGGAAGGCGAGACCAGGAACCCAACGGTCCCTGGTCTGGCTTTGGGAATGGGCCCAGGGACTCGCACAGAGACTCCGGCCAGGACTCAGCAAAGGCCCAGCGGTCAAGTTCAAAGCCAGCGGGGCCTAGGCCCGATGAGCCGGCCTTACCGACGGTGGACTTGCAGGCCTCGCAGAAGGTGTCGTCGGTGAAGCGCTCCATCAGGCTGGTCTTGCCCACGCCGCGGGAGCCAATGATGATGACCTGCAGCTTGAAGTCAGCAGGCCTGGGGGGCTGCTTCCTCCGGCGGGCCTGGCCACCCGACAGCGCCGGGGAGCCCGCGCCCAGGCCGCCCCCGCCGCCCCCGGCCCGCCTGTGCAGCGCGGCGCCCGGATCCATGCAGGCATACGGCTCGCGCTCGGCCCGCCGCCAGCTGCGCGCCCCGGGCCCCGGCGCCCCCCCGGCCTCCGCCGCGTGCGGAGGTTCGGTGTCCGCCCGCTCGAGCGGATCCGGCGGCCGGCTCCCTGCGCCCGGGTCCCTGCCGCCGCCGCCGCCGCCGCCGCCGCCGCTGCCGGGGGAGGAGGAAGGGAAGCAGCTACTCCGCAGCAGCGGCAGCAGCATCCCGGACGAGGAGGGGCAGGAAGCGCAGGCGCGGGAGGGGGCGGGGCTGTGGGGCGCGGGAGGGGCGCACCCTGCCGGCCGGAGGACCATACTGCCCGCGTCGCACGTTGCCCTGCCTGCTGCAGGCTGACCGGCCGCCCCGAGTCTGCTCTGTATGCTGGCCGGCTCTCGCTTCCCTCCCTCTTTCCTTCGGTTCATCTATTTCCTCCCTCCGCAATCCTCCTGTTAGTGCACCTTTCCCCGCTTTCGTTGTGCAAAGCCCCAAACATCATGCACTTTTATTAGCTGTCTCTCCAATCACTGCTCCAAACTCTACTGCGGACTCTGTCCGTTTCGGGATCTGCATTATCGCCACTCAGAGGAGACCCCTGCACATCCACTGCTTCTTCCGTCCCTATCTCCACTTTCCACGGAAACACGATGGCTGCCTCCCTCGGAGTTCACGAATTTTTATTCTGTTTAATTCTGAAAATAAGTATCGGGAAGCAATCGATTTAAAACTCTAACAGTGGTAAGAGACTGAAACTCCGAAAGTTTAGGAACCAAGGACCTGAGTAGTAAGGCTAACCATGTCTATGTGAAAGGATTTATGGATACAGAAGGTATCGCCAAGATTTGTTTAGCGGATTCCTCCGCGTGAACTTGAGAACACCGGGTTCTGAATATGATAGGAGCTGGCACGCGCACAGAGCGATCACGCGGCCCACCGAACTTCAGCTGTATTTAGAACCGGGTTTAGTAATGCATAGCGTGTGTGTCTCTTTCACTGCAAACCTGATTGGTTAAAAACCTAGTCTTGCCCACAAAGTAAGTCAGAAGAAGTTTACAAAAAGCAATCACTGCCTGGAAGCCGAGTGCCTGCCTAGCAAGTGCAAGGTCCTGAGTTCAAGCTCTAGAACCACCTCACAAAAAAGCAATCACAATTGTAATCCGCACCCCCCGCCCCCCGCCGCGCAACCCGGGAGGTGCTGGAGAAGGAACCCAGGCCTTACAAATGCCAGGCAAAGGCTCTATTCCCAGCCCACATAATATTTAGCAGTGAGTCTTTTGTATAGGAATGAGAATAGTGACCATTCTCTTCAGATAGCCTTGTCAGGAAAACAACCGGCTAATTTCCCATGCAGACTGTTGTAAACCCTGATGCGCTATATAAATGTAAGGAATTACACTGATTTTTGATTGATTCTACAGGAAGACTTTGCAAAACAAGACAGATGTGCAAAACTAATCTTAGGATCTTTCATTCCGTCTGGTCTGATTTATAGCACTGCTTATTCCCATAGGCAGATGAATGTGGCATGGAATGAAGACCCCGTCGTCCAAAATAATATATGGTGGGAGGGGGTGGGGGCAGGGGGGAGAAATGAACCAAGCCTTGTATGCACATATGAATAATAAAAGAAAAATAAAAAAAAAACAAACAAAATAATATATGGTTTTCATAAAGCAGTTTTGTAATTTCCTCGACTGGAATAATCAATGGCTTAAAAGCAGAGGTTTGGTTAGTTGGTTCGGTAGGCCATAGTTTCAATGCATTTTTGCTGCCTTAAACCAATTATCCAAGTCACTGCAGAGAGCTCCAGCACCCACAGTTGTGCCTGGCACCCATCGCTGTCAGTGTTGCTGGTGAATACATGCCTGAGATTGTCATGGATATCCATGTTAATAACGTTAGTTGTGCTCAGTCTTAGATCCAGACTGAGATAAAGGGGATACCCCCACACCCTGCTTTAAAAACAATTCCTCTCTACCATTTGGTATGCCTCCACCCCATTCTTCACTGTCACCCTAACACCCTCATCCTCACCTAAGACAGAGAAGTTTCGACTTGAACAAAAGGCTAGAGCCAGAGAAGTATGGAGAATAAGAAACGGAACTTGGGCATCACTGCGAGAATTGTGTTTCACAAAGTGGGAAATGACCCAAAGAGCTAAATGCTACAGAACAGCAGGTGAAATAATTACAGGCAAGCCCCATTTGCATGTTAGTATGGGACCACAGAATTAAGTGACCATGCAAACTCAAACTTTTTTTTTTTTTTTTTGTGGTACTGAGGCTTCAACTCAGGGTCTACACGTTGAGCCTGTCCACCAGCCCTTTTTTGTAAAGGGTTTTTTCGAGATAGGATCTCGCTGAGCTATTTGCCCAAGCTGGCTTAGAAACATGATCCTCCTGATCTCTGCCTCCTGAGTAGCTAGGATTACAGGCGTGAGCCACCAGCGCCTGATCTTGATAATCAGTAGGCACAATTATGATCATTTTAGGCCTTCAAAAATGGTTGTTAAGACTGGAAAAGACAGGCACCAGTGGTTCACGCCTATAATCTTAGCTACTCAGGAGGCAGAAATCAGGAGGCTCATGGTTCAAAGCCAGCCCCAGGAAAATAGTTTGCAGGACCCTATCTCAAAAATACCCAACACAAAAAAAGGCTGGTAGTGGCTCAAAAGGTAGAGCATCTGCTTAGCAAGCATCAGGGCCTGAGTTCAAATCCCAATGCTGCAAAAAAAAAAGAAAGAGACATTGGAAAAAGGCCAGGTGAGGTGGCTCACATCTGTAATCCCAGCTACTTGGGAGGCAGAGATCAAGAGGATTGTGGTTTGAGGCCAGCCCTGGCAAAAATTTAACAAGACCCCATCTGAACAAACGAGCTGGGCATGGTGTTGCATGTCTGTGAATCACAGGCCTGCTTCCTCTTCCTCTCTTTAATCTTGGTCATAAGGTAAACAGTTTGCTCCACTGTGCCCTCCCTGCCATGATATGCTGCCTCACCATAGGCCTAAAGCACTGAGGACAATTGTTCATAGAAGGACATATCTAAAACTGAGAGCCCAAATAAACCTTTCCTCTTTATAAGCTGATTATCTCAGAAATCTGTTACAGGGATGGAGAACCGACTGACACAGTACAATGGCTGGATTCTGCAGTAATTAACTTTGAGGGTTGATGAATTGTTATACTTCTTTCTAGGTTTGATCAGCTTCCAACATCTTATTCTTTGTGCTTTCAATGTTTTGAAATAGCTCCCAAAGTTCGGTTAATGTTAAGTGTTTTGCTGGCATTGTTTCTTCTGGGCCATCTTCACAGACTACACACAGGCTACACACCAGGAGTCTCTGTACAGCAGGGGAGCCACCTTTCCCATGGTTAGCTGTTTCTCCATTTATGGTAGCTTCAAACCTCACATCCAGACTCATTCTTGTTTCTTTGCTGCACTTGTATCTGTGTTGGCCAGTTTCTTGTTTTGATCATTTTTTTTGCCAATGTCAGATAGGCTGAGCACTGGTTGATGAGAAGATGTCACAAGTACATGTTTAGCTGTCTGTGTTTGAACTAATGTGCACTGAGATCCATCACCAGCAGACTTTGGAAAAAGTGGGGTTGTAGTAATGAATCTCACTCCACACCTCTCAAATGCAAAGCCTTGAATTCAAACCTCAGGAACCACCAGGAAAAAAAGAAAGAAAGAAAGAAAGAATCTCACTCGAATTTTGCTGAGGGTTGCTGACATCTTTTTAAGCCTCACCTGTCCCTCTTCCCTTGAGGGCCTCCATCTGGGCAAGTTGAGGCTGGATGCTCCTTCGTGAGGCGCTGGGGAGAGATCCAAACCACACATGCACCATTTTGAGTTTTTGCTCCCATTTCCCGTGTGGGGAACATGAAATGTTTCTCTTTCATCTCCCCTACCCCCATTCCTCTCCTAGTAAACTTTTTTTTTAATCGCTTTTTACATTTTTCTCCTAATAAACTTTACTATTACTTTTACTAAATCTTTGTGTCTTGCTTGACTTCTCCTGCCAGACGCAAGAACCAAGGTAATTTTCAGGACCATTTTTTCTGGTAACATTTTTTCCTAATTGTTAATAAACTTATTATCATTCTTGCTATGTCTATATATGCATCCATATAGAATATAAGAATCTGCAATTTCTGTTTATCAGGTACTATGACAGTTTCACTGTTCCTTTGTTATAGGAAAGTTTAGTGCTGTTGTATCTCTCAGTTCTTGGGCCCAGCAAGAGAATTCAGGCAAGATGCAAAAATATAATGAAAATGATAGTAAAGTTTATTAAGAAAGGAATTTATTATAATGAGATAAAAGTGAGGAGAAATGGGGGGGAAGGGAGGAAATGGGAGTGAAGACTCAAGATGGCAGTCCTTATCTTAGAGCTGGAGGAATACATGTGGTCATTAAAATAATAGATCTGGGGCTGGTAGAATGGCTCAGGTAGTAGAGCGCCTGCCTAGCAAGCATGAGGCCTGGAGTTCAAACCCCAGCACCACCGCCAAAAAAAAAAAAAAAAAAAATGGATCTGGGTAGCTAAGATGGGTGCTAAAACAAGGAGACCTCATCCTGTCTGAGGCCTACTCAAATCACAGGGACAAAAGGTGGGCTCCGGGCTTCCATTTGCTAGACATATGTTTCATTCTTTTTGTCCCTCCACCCATCCAAGGAGCCTTGGAGCTTGATAACAACTCAAAGGGAAAGGCGGATGCAGATAGCCCTGGAATGTAGATAGCCTTGTTGTAACCTTAACATCTAAAAGAAGACAGGAGGGGGTGGCTAGTTGCTCTGGCTCTTTAGTTTTTACTTTCCAGTTTGAATGTCTGAGTCTGACTCTCTTAATGTTTATTAAGATCATACAATTTCCCTGTGTCCTCATCTATCCTGCCTCATCCACCACTCATGGCTAACTGCTGCCTAAAACCTTGATGGTGACTAGATGTCAGAGTTCATAAGCCATAATTCTTTTTTTTTTTTTAATGGGACTGGGGTTTGAGTTCAGGGCTTCACATTTACAAAGCAGAGGCTCTACCTATAAGGTATTGCCTAATAAAGACCATGCCATGTGTGGAAAGGAAAGATTTATCAGGAATCCAGACTGCAGGGCTGTCACTCTTTTTGGGTTCAGAGTGCAGTGGCTTGGCTGAATTGGGTAGTGGGCTTTATAGGAGGGGCCAAGCCATGGGGGAGGGAGA